GCCACGGCACTCTAGCTCGGGCAACATAGTGAGACTCTGTCTCAAAAAAAAAAAAAAAAGATGATGGATTAATCTCAAAATAGCTATGTGTAGTAAAAACAAACAAAAAAAAGCCAGAGCCCCCACCCCCTAAAATATACATATGATTTCACTTATAAAATTCTAGAAAATGATTGCTGTTGTTTGCAAACTGAGAAAAAAAAAAAGGAAGTATTAGGATGTAAGTATTATAAAGGGACACAAGGGATCTTTTGTTGTGTTGGAAATGTTCATTATCTGGACTGTGGTGGTTTCGCAGGTGTATACACATGCTGAAACATGGTACATTTTACTTTGCATATTTGTAGTTTATTGTGTGTCAATCATACCTCAATAAAGCTGTTAAGAACTAAATGTTCCCCATACAAATCCGTATCTACCATTCCTCTTAGAAAGTTAGATCTGCCAACTATTTTGGCTCTACCACATCTCTCTCTCTACATTTTAGGAGAGCGAGCCCTGCCTCAATGTCAGCAAAAACTGGAGAGCAATGGAGTCCATTTCTGCGTCAGTCACTAGGAATGCTGGCTGGGTAAGAGAATCCCCACCCCTGGATTTCTCTTCTGTCAGTGCTGGGGTTCCTGCCTGTGCAGTGACGGCCATAAGGTCAACTGCCCAGGGAGGTACAGAAATCCAGACATCTTTAGATTATTTACTCTGACAGTGGCCTTGGCCACAGGAAATACAAATATCTGGACACCCTGAAAATTTCTGCACCTCATTCCACACAGTCATAATTGCATGGACATTTGTGGATGCCCCTTTACAATGTAAAAATCTTGTTTGCCACAGTCATCCCCACTCCAGCATCTCAGTGTTTCTGTACCAATCGTGATTCTCATCTTGCCCTGCAGATTACAGTGAATGGCACTTGCCTATGGGATTCTCGCTATCAGAGACTGGCTCCTGTACAGGACCAGAAGATATCAATCCCTCAACAATGCTGAGGAATATGTGAGTCAAGGGACTCAACTGTTGTTTCCACAAACACTAGAGATTTTCTCACCAACCATGCCCTCAGGATGAACACTGGGCTCACAGGAAATCCTGACATCCGGGCCACAGAATTAGGCACACAAAGTTCTTCAGTCTTTCCTAGCAGGCCTAGGACAACAGTGCAAATTAGGTTGAACTAGACTGAGAACTGTTCTGTCATCCTGTGGTCCCCTCTGAGGCACATAAAGATGGTGCCCACAAAAGGTATTCCTCCCTTCATATTGACAGAACCCAATTCTCTCAATCCACTCTATAGAGTAAACAGAACCCCCAAAAGTAAAGGCTGCCTCAATAGGCCTTTGTCACTGTAGTAATCAGAGCAGCACTGGACAGGCAAGGTCCAAAGTTGGGTGATTTGGCAGTAGGGCAAATAAGTCACAACCATCATGTTTACAGTCAACATCTTCCATGAAGGGAAACTTTGTCGGAAAATCCCTAGCATACTTTAGCTCAGATCCTTTTGCACAGAGCTAGATTATGTCCACTCAGAACCTAATCACGAGGGAAAAAATGAGGACCTTCAATGGGCTCAGAACACTCATGGTTCCCTGCAGGGAACAGCGGAGCGAGCACAGAGGTCTGCCTTCCCTGAGCAAAATGTGAGTGATTGACATACAGCTTGTAGCAATAAGATGGCTTCCGCCACAGGCACTGGCAGTGATATAACTGTCAAAAGCCCTGGGCAGTTTAGAAAGTGCAAAACACCTCATGAAAGCATCCCACGTATATGGTGCTTATGGAGAATCTCCCCAGGGTGGATGTATGCACGTACCAGGTTCACCTACTGGTTCTCTCACAAAGGGTACTCACGGAGGTTTTCTCTGGTGTGAGTCGCATAAGGTTGAACAAGGAAATAGCACATTTTCTGCATTCATAAGGCCTTTCTCTAGTGTGAATTTTCTGGTGCTAAACAAGTTTAAGAGATGCAGCTAAAGAGTCACCAAAACTGTTGCACTCACGAGGCCTTTCTCCAGTGTGAACTTTCTGGTGCCGAACAAGATGGGAACTTCTGCTGTAGGCTTTCCCACAATTACTGCATACATAAGGCTTTTCTCCAGTGTGAACCCTCTGGTGTAGAATGAGGCTAGAATTGCGGCTAAAGAACTTCCCACACTCACTGCACTCATAAGGTCTTGCTCCAGTGTGAACTTTCTTGTGTTGAACAAGATGGGAGCTACTAATATAAGCTTTCCCACATTCACTGCACACGTAAGGCCTTGCTCCAGTGTGAACTCTCTGGTGTAGGATGAGGCTGGAGTTGTGGCTAAAGCATTTTCCACACTCATTGCACTCATAAGGCTTTGCTCCAGTATGAATTCTCTGGTGTACAATAAGGTTGGAGCTATGGCTAAAGAATTTTCCACATTCACCACACTCATAAGGCCTTTCTCCAGTGTGGATTTTCTGGTGCTGCACAAGTGTGTCTTTACGGCTAAAGGCCTTCCCACATTCACTACACTCATAAGGTCTTACCCCAGTGTGAATTATCTGGTGCTGAACAAGTGTATCTTTGCAGCTGAAGGCTTTCCCACATTTACTGCACACATAAGACCTTGCTCCTGTGTGGACTCTCCTGTGCTTAATGAGGCTGGAGTTATGGCTAAAGAATTTCCCACATTCAATGCACTCATAAGGCCTTGCCCCAGTGTGAATTCTCCAGTGCTCAATAAGATGGGAGCTTTGACTAAAGAATTTCCCACATTCACTGCATTCATAAGGCCTTTCCCCAGTATGAAATCTCTGGTGTTGAACAAGTGTGTCTTTACGGCTAAAGGCTTTCCCACATTCACTGCACTTATAAGGCCTTTCTCCAGTGTGAATTCTCTGGTGCTGAACAAGGTGGGAGCTTCTGCTGTAGGCTTTTCCACATTCACTGCAGTCATAAGACCTTTCACCAGTGTGAACTCTCTGGTGTTGAACGAGTGTGTCTTTGCGGCTGAAGGCCTTCCCACATTCACTACATGTGTAATGTCTTTTTCCAGTGTGAAATTTCTGATGCATTTTTAGGTGGGACAGATGAATAAAGGCCTTTCCACACTCCTTACACACATGAGATGTTTCTCCACTGTGAATTTTTCTGTGATTAACAAGAGCTGATTTCTCCTTGAACACATTTCCACATGGTAGGCATCTGAAGGGTCTCATCGCAGTATGAGTTATCTGGTTGTCAAGGAGAGTAAAGGTGTTCAGGAAGGCTTTCTCATTATCACTACAATTGAAAACCATCTGTCCATCACAGTCTCCCTGATGTTGCCTGAAACCGGAACTGCATGGGAAAGATTCCATGCACGCTGCCCTTTGATACGGACTCACCCAATCGTGAGTGGTCTGGTGCTGGAAGAGGCCAGAGCTGTCTGACAAGTCCATCCCTTCCTCCCTGCATGCAAAGGATCTTCTGAACACGTGGACTGCACAGCTCTTCACAAATGAAGCCCCTTCATTATCCCCTCTGAAGCCACTTTCTCTACTACGTTGCTTCTGGTGCTGGTAAAATTTTGCACTGAATGAGAATCCTCTCCCACGTGGCCCACACATATACAGTTTCTGCATAAGGTGTGATCCCTGGTGGTCAGCCAAGTGCAAAATGTCTTTCAAGAGTGGGTCACACATCTCACACGGGTGGGCTTCCTGGAGGAATGGACCTGATTCAGGAGTTGTGACCTGTGACACTCTTTCTACAGAAATGCTCTGCTCAGAAGGTACCTCCTCATCATATGCTTCACACCAACAACCTGAAAGGAAAGCAAAGAAATCCTGATGAAGTAGGTATTGACTTTGGTGGGAAGCAGCAGCCCCATCACAAATGTGCATGTGACATGTCAATATGAGTCTACTGGCTTATTGGCAGGACAAGGGAGCCAAGATCAGTTAAGGAAGGGCTGGTTGTCAGTACTAGGCCTCCAAAAGTCACAGAATGGAGGAAACTTAATGATGGGTAAAGACCTAATGACAATGATGGAGTAACGGATAGGGCATAGAGGTGAGGTCTGTAACTCATTTTTCTGCAAAAGGGTTTCAGCAGGGCCTTGGCTGCTGGTGTCAGGTGAGCTCTATGCAGAAGGGTATGTTCAAGCCCAGGAAAATCTGACTCCAAGAAAGCAGCTAATTCTCAAGGATTACTTAATGTACACAACTCATGACATGTTAAAGTAAGCCAGTGTCATAAAGCATTGCAGAGAGAGCAGAGGAGAACGAGGAAAACATGGAGATCAGAGAAATGGGGAAATATCCAACTAATGGAAGACTGGAGGGAAATGACAAGTGGGCAGAGTGGCAAGAATGGGGAAAGAAAAGTAGAAAGAAGGTATTGCCGTGGGCCTTGGCAAAAAACACTTGTGAACACAAAAAAGGCTGAAGGTTTGATCTAAACGCAGCCATAACATGACACCCTCCTCCAGATCCCATTCAGCAGACCCTCTCTAGACCTCCCTAACTGTGGGTGGACTAATATCTGCCCTGTCAGACACCCAAGGCTTTCTGCCCCTCTCCAACTGGACAACTGCATAGGATTTGGAAAATCAATGTTGTAAAGAAAACAAAGGGCAGATGAGTGGTGCAGGCAGACCCACCCCACAGAAAAGAAAAGAAAATGTTAAAAAGGAACCTCCAAGGAAGATTTGGCAGAACAGTCCTGTGGCTGCCACAAGTGACCATGTCAGTACCTGCAATTCCTGACACAGAAAGGCCCCAGGAAATGTCGGCTAGAGAACAGGGGCAGAACCTGGGACACAGAGGTGCCAAAGATCAGGACAGTCACCTAGCCAGTGAGTGCCCATGCTACGTGGAATCTGTTTAACAGACTGAAAAATCCCTGAACCCCTAACCTTTTCCTGCAAGGTTTTGGGGCAACAGATGTTGGGAGTACTCAGAGAGGGAGGGGACACAGCACACAGCCCAGCACTGGCACCCACAGCACTTACTCTGGGAAACTGTGAAGGGAGAGAGAAGAGTCACTGATCTGACTGGATAAAAAGAGCTGCTCCTGGGGAACAGGGGAAGAACCAACCCCACCAAGGACACCAGAGGCAGTAGAAAGGGCTGTGGAAGGCAGCCTCTAAGATGGTCCCCAGTGAGTTCTACGTCTGGGTACTCTTGCTCTTGTGTGAGCCTCTTCCCTTGGATTGCAGGCTGGCCTGACTGACTCATTTCTATGGAACAGAAGATGACAAAAATGATAGAATGTCACTTTCAAAACTAGGTTACAATCCTGGGCTTCCATCCTGAACACTCTCACTTGCTGAAAGAGAAGTCAGCTACCATGTTATGAAATCTACTACAAAAAGGCCCACTGGTGAAGGAAGTGAGGGAGGCCTCTGGAAAACAGCCAGCAAGGAATTAATGCTCACAGTCCAACAAGCCACAAGACACTAAATCTGGAAACAACCATTAGTGAGCCTGTAAGTGGATTCTTCCTGAAATGGGCCTTCAGATGAGACCATAATTCTGGCTGAGAGCTTGACTGAAACCTCATGAGAACCAAAAGCACCCACATAAGCTGTGAAGAGATTCCTAATGCACTAAAACTGAGAGATAATGAATCTTTATTGCTTCAAGCCACTAAATTTTAGGGTTATTTGTCATGTAGCAATAGACAACTAAAACGGGGACTTACCCAGAGTGGCCACAAGTGCAAAGTTCTCCAGCATCACATCACGGTATAGGAATCTCTGAGCCTCCTCAAGGAGTTCCCACTCCTCCCGGGAGAAGTACACGAACACATCCTCGAAGGTCACACAATCCTGCCATTATGGGGACAGTTGAGCCCATAGGCAGATCTCACCCCAGAGCCCTCCTCCCTCCAGTCTATCCCCTCACACACCTACCCTCTCTAGGGGTGGGGAACCTGTGGCCTCAAGGCCACACATGGCCCTCCAGATCCCCAAGTGTGGCCGCTCAACCGAGTCCAAACTTCACAGAACAAATCCCTGAATTTGTTTTGTAAAATTTGGATTCAGTCAAAAGGCTACATTCAAGGATCTAGAAGGCCACATGTGGCCCTCAAGGCCGCAGGTTCCCCATCACTGCCTGGCCCCTCTTCCCCCCAGGCTCCCAACTCAGAGGAGATACCAGGCCTTGGAACCACTAGTGCCTGTTCTCTCCTCATGTCTCTCTGACCACTGTGTCCAGCCCAGAGTAGAACCAGACAAGTGTGCAGACAGATGCTGTCTAAACTCTGTGCCTGGCATGAAGGACCCCAAACACTCTTCTATCAACCAGTTCTCCTGGTGTCATCCAGACCGTCCCTCCCAGACACAACCAAACTTAGGTCAGCCTTCTCCCATAAGCTGCCAATACTAGGGCCATTAGGTCGCACTCTTCCCAACATGCACATTACTCTTTGGACCATACCTTCCTCACACTTGGGACCCCGACCACCACTGACAAGCTCCGGGCCCATACCATATGCACCTCCATGGTATCCCCCAGACCCCACGCCACTCTACACACAGTGTCCAGGAAGTGCTCATCTGTCTTTATAACATGTGCCACAGCCACTCAAGTGCCTAAGCTACAGGCTCAGTTCTCAGTCCCTCGGTTTCACCTTTCTTACTGACAACATTGCCACCATGACTTAAACACACCCCACTCCACTCCACACATTGCTGCTACCTTTTGAACTTCTTTGAAAGAATCCCTCCCCAGAACTAAAAAACCTGTGTGTCCCCTTAATGCCTCAACTAAGGGGTCACTGGGACTTCTTAAACTAAACATGACCAAAGCCAAACTCCTGATATAACCACTAAGAATTACTCCTGCCACCAACTTCTCATCTCAGGTGACGGCACTTCCAACATTGTACCAGTTAAAGCTAAAAAATAAAAAACCTTGGGGGGTGGGGGTCATCCACAACTCTTCTTTTTCTCTCATTCACCCTTCACATCAAAAAATCCAATCACCCTACTAATTATAAAACACAGATTTAAAAAATTCACCAACGTCTCTCACCTCCACGGCCACACCATCAACACTACAACAGTAGGCTCCTCCCTCATGCTGAAAGTCTGCTCTCAACCTGAGAGCCAGAGGGAGCTTGTTAAGATCTGAGTCAGATCATCTCTCTCCTCTGCTTCACATCTTCCATGGCTTTCACCACTCAGGATAGAGGTCCAGCTCCTCAGCCAGCCATTCCTGACTCCTACCCCTGCTCTCTGCTCCCAACACACGTAATTAAGACCTGAGGTTTCCTGAGCACTCCCAACTCAATCTCACCTCCAAGCATTTGCACCCATCTGTTCCTCCTAATATATATACCTTTCCAGTCCTCATCCCATTGTTTGCCGTAAGTTGGAACTTCTCCACATAACTCCATGTAACTCCTGGCCTGGATTCCGGCTGCTGAGCCAGAAGTGATGCCGCTTCAGGGCCCCCAAACTCAAGTGCAGAGACAGAGACAGGTGAAGAGTCCCAGGATATCACTATGCGTCATCAGAAAACATGCTCAGCTATACTTATAAAACATATACAAAACCTACACATTCTCTAACGTCCATTGCCACCACACTCTGGCCCACCCACCATCAAAACTCACGTGAACAGCAGACTCCATCCTGATCTCCCTGTCTACCTCTGTGCCCCCCAATCTCTCCACTCTGCAGCCACAGGGAGTCTTTTAAGACCTGAGTCAGAGCATCTCCCTTCCCCGTACCAAACCTTCCATGGCTCCCACCACGCTCAGAAGAGAGGCCGGGCTTCTCAGGCTGCCATTCCACGTCTGACCCCTGACCACCCCGCTCCCCCGTTCTCACGAGGCATAATGGAGACTTGCGGTTTCCGAAACTCCGACTGTTACCTCCGAGCGTCTGCACAGGCTGGCTCCTGTGCCTTGGAAGCTCTTTCACCCCTCGTCCCGCTGACACTGGGAACGGGAACCTCCCCACATATCCGCCAGAGCGACGGCCCTCCACAGTCAGGAGAAGGGAGTGAAGAGGGCACAACGTCGCGGGACACACCAACCGGGTCGGCGTGGGCTTGAGGGACCCTCCACTCACCTGAACCCGGCCCACCAGCGCCGCCGCCGCCGCCATGAGCAGAACCGGGTCGTGAGAAGCCGCGGACGGGGAGTGCCCTGGGGGCTCAACCGAACCGCACAGCTCCGCCGGGCTGGACGGCCTCGTGCCGACTGCGGCACTCGGAGCCTGTCCCCCCGCACAGAAACGCGCGCAAGGCTGAGGTGCCACCTCCGGGGCGACGAGGACAGGGGGCGGGTGCGAGGCCTCGGCGAGAGCGCAGCCCCGGCGACACCGCCGCGCGAGGCCGCCCAGCCCAAGACAGGGGCTGTGGGTCGTCCCGAAGGCGCGGGGAAGGTCCCGATCTTTTTGCTGCCTTTCTTTGAGGGGTTCTGGGTGGGAAGCCGACCCCACCTAGGACTCCAAGCCTTTAGGGCCAGTGTGGACAGCCTGGGCGCAGGAAAAAGACGTAACGATGGCGACGCCGGAAGTCCCGCCCTCGCCGCCACCGGCACCGGGAAGTGGCGGCCGCGGGCCCAGCTTCGACCGCAGGTGCGCCGGGCACAGACTTCTGGGTGTTGTAGTTTGCGCCCTGCATCGGGCCAGGATCGGCGCCGCCAGAGGGCCCGCTCAGCGAGCGGGGAGGAACATGCGGGAACAGCATCTTGCAGAGCCGGAGCTCCCCTTAAACGGAACGCACCCAGATTCCTGTGGTCACCGGTGCCAATGCCACGCCTCAGAAACCGTCAGCAGGTGGCTCATTCTTTAATCCTCCTGCTTCTGAGGCCCCGGGAGAGGTGCTTCACCTGCTTTCGGAACTGAGATTTAACACATTCACTGCCATGTAAGTTGTATTTAACTCACGCTAGTTTTGAGCCCTGGGCCTCGTGAAGCATGTGTAACTCACATGAGCCGCGTCAATTATTTTTCAAGTTGCATATAACTCAGAAAACAATAAAAACTAACAAAATTTTCATTAGAAAGGATCGCTTTTTTTTTTATTCTATTTTCATAATAAAACACAGTGGCTCCAAGGAAAATTTTTTTTCCTAGTGTGGCAGTGTCTTACACTGAACAATGAGTGTATTTTGCTCGTGGGTATATTTCTTGAAAACTAGCTACACTTGTTTCCCCTGTAAATGTTTCCCATGCAGTAAAGGCATCCCCAATAGCTTCTGAGGCACAAATTTGCCTTCCCTCAGTTAATGCTGACAAACGTCATTTATCACCATGTATGTGATTTGTCTGGTTATGAACTTATCAGTAGAGTTCTCCAGTATTTACTGCTTGGTGTCTAACATGTCACTGACACTGAAGTTTGTGGGTTTTTTTGAGGGGGGCTGTATATTTTTAAAATTATTTTTAATGAATCCACTTCCATGACTGCCACAAACCCAGGCTGTTAATAGTATTGAGTTCTGGAGGTAACTACACCCACTATGGATTTTCTGGATACAATCATAAACTTCTCTCTCCACCTCAACTGAAAATTCACAATCACGAGGCTTCAATCCCTGCCCTTCTATTCCTAGAAACTGCCAAAGCCAACTACGTAGGAGGCTTTTTCAAAGGAAGACAACTTTGCTCTATGAGGCAGACAGCACCCCCAAACCACAAACAGGTTGGGGCTTATGCAGGCCTCAATTCAAGCATTTATTCTGGGAAAATCATCCACCTTGTAGCATGAAAGTAGCAGTTGCAACTTTAATTGGTGTTTTCTTCCACTTAATGACTGTTTCATGATTTACTTAAACATCTGTCATTTGAATTTATGGTTCTTGGTTATTATAAAATTGTTATAAATCTTTGTGTACATGTATTTTGGTATAAGAAAGCCCTCATTCCTAAGGTATATGCTCCCAAAGTGACTTGTTTGGTTATAAAATGTAAGTATGTTTAATTTTGATATGAAACCCTTACCTCAGACCATATATAAACATGAACTCGAAATGGGTCTTAGACTACATGAAATAACTAGAAATATAAAATTCCTAGAAGAAAACATAAGTCAAAGCTTTGCAATGTTGGGGAAGGCAAAGTCTTGGGTCACCAAGGAACACATGAAAGACAAAATATTTTGGTTTACATCAAAATTAAAAGCATCTAATCTTCAGAAGACACTGCTAAGAAAATAAAAAGGCAAGCCCAAAACTGAGAGAAGCTATTTGTGAAACACGTAATTATTTATTTATTTATTTATTTTGAGACAGAGTCTCACTCTTTTGCCCGGGCTAGAGTGCCGTGGCGTCAGCCTAGCTCACAGCAACCTCAAACTCCTGGGCTCAAGCGATCCTTCTGCCTCAGCCTCCCGAGTAGCTGGGACTACAGGCATGCGCCACCATGCCCGGCTAATTTTTTCTATATATTTTTAATTGTCCTATTAATTTCTTTCTAATTTTTAGTAGAGACGGGGTCTCGCTCTTGCTCAGGCTGGTTTCGAACTCCTGAGCTCAAACAATCCGCCTGCCTCGGCCTCCCAGAGAGGTAGGATTACAGGCGTGAGCCACCGCGCCTGGCCAAAACATGTAATTATTTTTATATATTTCTGTACAATATATTTTTTTAATGTAAGATAACACTATCACATGTAGCTCAAAAACTAAGTTCAAAAAGACTACCAAAGGAGGAATTCCAAAATACTCAGACTAAAGGCATTCGTTATTACAATTGGGACTACATCTATGGTGACAACTGTGAAACTCACACATCCCTACCTATACGCACACACGCACAGGTTCACCTGTTAAAATTCTAGTAACAGTTAATCTTCACACAATCTCTTAAAAGATTAAAAATGAGATTCCCTCTATGTGTCTGTTGAAGTTAATCATAAATCTTAATTTAGCTATGTGTTTTGTTTTGGCTCTAATTTGACCTCTAGAAAATTGTTGAGGTGGACTTGGATAACTCTCCCTAAGGAGAGGTAGAGGAGTTGAGAAATGGCAGAGAAGAACTAGAGCTCCCCTGGGTTATGCCATGTACAGTTACACTATCATCCCCATCCCACAGAAAAATAAAGAAAAAGAAATAAACAAGTTAACTAGAGATCAAGAAAGAATGTATGTATTGGGTTGTTAAAGAAACATGAAGAAATGGCTTGTTCTTTTAAGAAAATTAGAGTCTTAGGTGTGCAGTAAAATGTATCCATTCATATGTACATCCTATCTCCTTAAATATAAAATTATTTCACAACTTAAGCCTCCATGTTGCTCATAAAGTCTTATGCTCCTGCTCCCCAAGGGTAGAGACAATGTTCTGGGAAAAAGCAGGCTAACACAAAATGTTTTCAAGCACAACTTCATTTGTCTAATTGTACTGACACTGGACAACAGTAAATGTATACACAGGGAAAAATAAAGGGAAAGAGGGCCTTTTGTTTCTGAAACAGTATGTCCCTCTCCCCAGATAAAATAAGGAAAAAATGACAAATTGCAACAAGCATGTCAGGCAAGTCTGAAAGAAGCTGTGCTCCCATCTCTTTCTCTTTTCTATGTCTCCTCCTCCTTTCTTTGAATGTATCTGAGATAACATTTCACTGTAAACTAAGAAGAAAGATGTGGCTAAACGTTTTCCTATGTGCACAATAACCAGTGGGTCTCTCTCATGGGTGAATTCTCAGACACAGAATAAGACTCTAGGCTGGGTCAATTTCTAACATGATTCTTTAGATGGCAAATGAGGATCTACAACAGGTTTTTCCATAGAAATAGCACTGAGGAGTTTCTCTTTGGCATGAATGGCCAGATGCTGAGTAAGATGCTTCCTCTCACCACAGATTTTCTTCAGTGGTCATATTAAAAAATTCTTTCCTTAATATGAGTTCTTGGATTTTAACTGAAGTCTGTGCAGTTGAAAAAGGTTTTCTCACATCTGTCACAATGGTAGGGTTTCTCCCAGTATGAATTCGTTGATGCTGAGTGAGGGACGAGCTGCGATTAAAGGCCTTTCCACATTTACTGCACTCGTAGGGTTTCTCTCCAGTGTGGATGATGGAGTGTCGAATGAGGTTTGCACTCCGGCAAAAGGCCTTCCCACACTGGATGCATTCATAGGGCTTCTCTCCAGTGTGAATCCGCTGGTGCCTCGTGAGGTGTGAGCTGCGGCTGAAGGCCTTCCCACACTCCATGCACTCGTAGGGCTTCTCTCCAGTGTGGATGCTGTAGTGTCGAATGAGGTCTGCCCTATCGCTGAAGGCTTTTCCACATTCTTTGCATTCATAGGGTTTTTCTCCAGTGTGGGTCCTTTTATGCAAGACGAAAGTGGAGTAGTGGGTGAAGGCCTTCCCACATTCACCACACGCATACGGCTTCTCTCCAGTGTGAATCCGCTGGTGCTGCTTGAGGTGTGATCTGCGGTTGAAGGCCTTTCCACACTCCATGCACTTGTAGGGCTTCTCCCCGGTGTGGATGATGTAGTGTTGAATGAGGTCTGCGCTCTCACAAAAGGCTTTCCCACACTCATTGCACTCAAAGGGTCTTACTCCAGTGTGAATCTGCTGGTGCCATGTGAGGTACGACCGGCGGTTGAAGGCCTTCCCACATTCAATGCACTCATAGGGCTTCTCTCCTGTGTGGATGATATAGTGTCGAATGAAACCTGGCCTATCTCGAAAGGCTTTGCCACACTCTTTGCACACAAAGGGTTTTTCTCCTGTGTGGCTTCTGTTATGCAAGACAAAAGTGGAGCGGTGGGTAAAGGCCTTTCCACATTCACTGCATTCATAAGGCTTCTCTCCGGTGTGAATCCGCTGGTGCCGTGTGAGGTGTGACCTGCGGTTAAAGGCCTTCCCACACTCCATGCACTTGTAGGGCTTCTCCCCTGTATGGATGATGTGGTGCTGAAGGAGATGTGTGCTCTTGCTAAAGGTCTTCCCGCACTCGGTGCATTCATAGGGCTTCACTCGATTGTGAATCTGCACATGTTGAACAAGGAGGTAATTCTTCTTAAAGACGTTCCCACAGTCCTTGCATTTATAGGAATTTTTTCCTTTATGAATCAAGGGATCTGAAACTGTTCCATGTGAGTCACATTCATAGAGACCATCTTCTGGAGAGACTTGTTCCTGTACAATCACTGAACATAAACCATCATCTGTCCCCAAACCATCATGTTCAGGGCTCATTTTCCAAGGGAGTGTCTCCTTCAGCGGGTCCATCTCTGGTCTCCAGTGGCCTTCCTGCATCTCTGATGGCCCATCCTGATCCTTGGCTTGCTCCAGTTGGGAGTCCCCTGAGGCTCCCTGTGTCAGTTGCTGCTCGAGTGAGACTTCCTCAGGCAAGGCCAGGTGAGGAAGGGTAGGCTCTGGGGTCCAGGGTTGTGTGCTGTCACCTGAAGGGAATGCAATATACAAAAGGGCTCATTAGGCATGGCCACATGGAAGAAACAAAATCCCCACTTCAGTGAGAACAAGAAGATGAAAATAGTGATGATCTGAAAAAAGCTATGATTTGAAATCTCTGAAATCCAGGTTTGCAATTTGTTTCTCTTCGGTGCTTGAACTCTTGACACTTTTAAAGGGAAACCCAGAGGAAGAGGCTAGGACTAGGGACAGAGTGTCTGGAATAGAGAGCCCTGCTCACAGTCAAGACTGGGCTGGGTGGACGAGTAAAGATGACACTGTGTGTGGTGAATTTCCTCAAAGCAAGAACATGTCAAGGTGCTACAGAGGCCCGGGAAGGGGCACCTAATGCAGCCTAGATGGAAACATGAAGAGGTCAGGGAGGCTTCCCAGAGGCGGTGCCTCATGAGCTGAGTCCTAATGGAGAGGTGCAGCTGCCATATAGAGGAGACGGAAAAAGGACCTTTCAGCCTCAGGAAATAGATGTACAAAGGCAGAGTCTCCTGAGAATCCAGGGAACTGCAGCGAGAGGATGCAGCCCCATGACAGGTGGGTTGGTGAGGATACAGGGACATGTGGGGGCAGAGAGGAAGCTGATGCCCAGGATTCTGCCTCGGGGACAGCTGGTGATGGCCATGGTCACTCCCAAGACAGGGCTCCTAAGACACAAGGTGAACACGGTCTGAATAGACACGGTGAGTCCACCGTGTCAGAGGAACAGACAAGTGAAATGGCTAACAATACAGACCAGATCTTAAAGAAGAAAACTATAAAACTTAAAGACAATAAACATGTACATGAATGAAGAAATTAATAATATAAAGTCATCCATTCTCCCAAAACCAATCTATAAATTCAGTACAACCCGGAGAAACAGCAACCTGAAAAAGACTGGGAAAAGATCCAGTTTGATGGAGAAAATCATAAAACTTTAAACTATAAGAGGATCTGTATAGACTTAATAATATTCAATCATCACCTCTACCCAAATCAATATATAAATTCATATATAATCCCAACAGGCCTTATCAGTGATATCCATGTTAGGATACAACAATAAAATGGCCATCTGCACACCAAGAAGCAGACCTCAACAAACACCAGATCTGCCAGTACCTTGATCTTAGACTTCCCAGCCTCCAGAACTGTAAGAAATAAATATTTGTTGTTAAGTCATCTGGGTTATAGTACTGTTGCTCTAGCAACCAAACCTGACTAGGATGGTAGGGTGTGGGTAATGTTCTCATTCTTGAGTTGGGTGATAGTGTTAAGAAATGAGAAAATAATTTAATAAATATGTTAATCAGCCCTTAATGATTCAATGATGAGAGTGCATCATGAACCAAGGTTTACAATGAATCAAAGTCTGTACACCTGAGGTCCACTAATAAAAAGTTAGAGGCCACTTGAGTATAATGGTTTAAGACAACAAAAATTGCAGTCCTAGCAGAATTCAATATTAGCTTTTTTTTGTGGCACTTAGCAAGCCACTCAGATGCCATAAGCCTCCATTTAATCTCCAAAAAACAAGTCTAAACATAGTGCCTGCCTTGTAACACTATAGTGAAGATTAAGTGAAACACTGTACATCCATGTTCAGCATGGAGCCAGGCACCAAGTAAAAAACCAACACATAATAGCTATTTTTTATTATGGGTTGGTCAAAGAATACACATCTGGCAACAAACTTGAAAGTACACAAATTTAAGATGTAAGAACATGTGAATTAACCTTGGAGAGTATTTCAGAGTAATAAGGATGGGCTGTGAGATGCCGAATAAAGCCAACATTAAAGTAAAGATCAGAGTTAGGGAGAACAGTAAAGTCTACGGACAATAAGGAAAGAGAATCCAAAGAGCCAGACTCTCAAGTACAGTAAAATCTGAAAAGTTTGTGCTGCAGCCTCAGTTCAATGCTAATTATTACAGTAATGCAACAGGGACTACAGTTAGTTTTAGCAGCTATGATCTAACACAGCATCTTTATGTTTGCATTTCTCTCAACTGCAAATGTCATCCTGTACAAATTGTATTTGTGTACCTAAGTTTTGATAAATTTTAACTTTTTAT